CGCGGCTGCATTCTGGACGAGTTGAAGTTTCCGAATACTCTTCAAAGGCTGCCCCATGTAGAGCACATGTAAATCAGGGTTTGCTTTGGGGACAGAAGTAAGCATTCTACTGCTGAACTGCAGCGAAAGTGTGACACTAAAGCCCATTTTCCCCCCCTATTTGCAGTTCATTCCTACTCCAGGCACCAAACACCCCCGAATTCCAGACTCAAACTAAGACCTTGGTCAACCAGAGGAAAACCACCGAGTGGAGTTGCTCCATAAACCAGAGACCAGCTTCGGTTCTTGAGCAGAGGAAGAAAAAAAAAAAAGAGATCAATAAATTAATAAATCAGTATTTAAAAAAACAACAACAGCTCGCTTATGCCTGACCTCCTGGAAACGATCCAATAAAGTAAAATGAAACAACAGCATCTTAAGAAGCAGAGTGATGGGGATTCGGGATTCGCCCTGGGCCATTGGTGAAATGCGAGCAATGCAAAAAATCAACAAAGAGGGCAAAAGTGTCCGTTTTATTGATTGGTCGGATTCGTCAATCATCTGCCATAGATATCAGAACAGGACAATTAGAAGGGAAATTGACACAGGCTATAAACACTCTAGGGCTGTCTGTCTGAAGCATGCTGGCTAGGGAATTCTGGGAATCAAAGTTCACTCTTCTAAAAAAATGCCTAATGCTTAGCCTAATGTTTCTCAACTTTTAAGAGAACAGTATGTGGAGTTGAGGTCCCAGAATTCTGGGAGTTGAAGTCCCTGCAGCTCAAAATTGCCAGATTGAGGAACTGTACTCTGCCTAGACTGAATCATCTTCTTTTAATAAGCCCATAATCCCTTGCGGGGTGGAGTCTGGGCAATTGAATGGAGCTGAGGGTTTACTGGCCAGATGCTTTTCCTGTCACCAATGCAGAGTTTTGTTTCAGCAGATAACATTCTCATTATGCCCAGGGAGATAAATATCTGCCTCTACCTAGGATCGAACTCGCAGCCTCCTTGATTGTGAGGCGAGAGCTCCACCTCTAGGCCACCAAACCACTCAGTGCCCTAGACTGAATATATATATAAAGTCACAACCCCTGGTATGCCCAAATATGGGAGGAAGTTCACTGCTTCCATTCTCTGTCCATCGGCTCGTCACAA